GGGAAATTTCCATCCGATTCTTACACACCCACATCTTGCCAGGCCTGTGCCAGGCACACAAGCTGCAAGTAGTAAGGGCAGGTTGGGGCCAGCTTAGCCAAGGGGGAGTACTGGGAAGGTCGTGGGCAGAGGGGACAGCCACTGCCAGGGTGGGCAGAAGGCCAGGGTGGGCAGAGGTGGAGGATGGCGGGGAAGGTGGGGTGTGGAGGGACAGTGGGGAGCCTCCCAGATAGGAGGAGGAGCAGGTCGGGGTAGGAGGTGGAAGCAGACCGACTGGCACCGTGTCTAGGCCTCGGGATCTGAACCTATAAAGCCATGCACAGGCCTGGCTCTGCCTGCACCTGGCTCCAGATGCACTCGGGGGTGCCCAGCCCCCAGGCCTGGGAGGCCCAGGGCCCAGGAAGGGGGCAATCACTCTGAGGCTTTTGTGCTGTGTGGCCCGATTGGGACACAGACAGGTATGCAAGACAAGACAAGAGGGGAGGCTGGGCAGCCGGGTTCCAGGGGGGGTCCAGAGGACAGAGAGCCCCTAGCCTTGCTCTCTTTCCACCTGGGGGTGCTGGCTTCCACCAGCCTTGGGGCACCCCACACTATCTGAACACACTCCTGGTGACATCTCAGGCAGCGCTGCAGGAGGGTGCAAAGACAACCCCCCCCCCAGGCTAGAGGCAGCTCCTGCCTGGCCTAGCTGGGCTTTCCCCTCCCCTGTGTCTCTCCTGCTTTTGAACCCTGTGCTCAGAGGGCCGCGGCAGCTTCCTTTGTCATTGTCACTGCAGGCAGGGCCCAGTCTGGCTGTGCTCCAGACCTCAGGTCAGAACTCTGGGGAGAACCTGACCACATGCTTGAGTGCTGTGTGCCTTTGCATAAGCCCTGTGCCCTCTCTGAGTCCGCCCCTCCCCCTTTATATATAATCTAGACAATAGATGAGGTAAGAGATCTGTCTACAGAGAGCCCCAGAGGCAGGGAAGGGGCTTAGGGGTAGTCATAGCAGAACCTACCTGCTTGGGCCATTTGGGGTGAGGGATCAGACCCAGGCAGGCCCAGGGAAGACTGTTAGGTTCTGGCTGCCTTCCTGCTGTGGCCCTGGCAATGTGCCCACCAGGCCCCGCCCCTGGCCTACCCCACCCACTCGGTACATCCTGGCTTTGGCTCTTTCTCATCCATTGTTTCTAGTGAGCACCACTGTTTCCACGAGCCGGCGGCCAGGTGGGTGCCTCAGCCTCCAACCCCAGCTGGCCGCATCTTCATCCTGGCTCTCTTGTGCTGAGTGACCCTGGGCCAGTCTTGGAGCCTTCGTTCCCCCATGTGTAACATGGGGTCTATTCTAGCTCATCCTCACTCATTATCCCAGGGTAAACACCCAGTCTTCAGAGGAGAGAACTAAAGCCAAGAGCGACAAAGTCTTTCCTTGCTCCCAGCACAGGGTGGGGAAGAAGAGAGAGGGAGACATTTGTGAAACATCTGCTCTGCCCACTTCTTTTCTTTTCTTTTTGTCGGATGTGGGGCTTGAACTCAGGGCCTGGGTACTGTCCCTGAGCTCTTTTGTTCAAGGCCCAGCACTCAACCACTCTGAGCCACAGCTCATGGACTTTCCTGCCTGGGCTGGCTTTGAACCACGATCCTCTGATCTCAGCCTCCTGAGTAGCTGGGATGATAGGTGTGAGCCGCTGGCACAGGGCAGGGCTGCCAGCTTCTCAATCCTCAGTGACCATCAACTAAAGACAGCACTCAGAGATGTGAAGTTGCTCTGAGTCACACGGCGCTGAGCAGCTGGAGCAGGGCTGGGTTCTGACATGCCAGACCTTTGGCTTCGTCCGTGGCTCACCCCTGGTTGCTCTGGTGACACAGCTCTGGGGCTCTGGGGTCAGGCCTCATTGAGCAGGCTGCAAGGGTAGCCGGCCGCTGGGGGAGGAGGGGCCAGCCATGTCTCTACACCCCACCACTCCCCCTGGCCCCCCTGGTGGATGGGGAGGGGCCTTCCTGTCTTGGGGGGGGTCATCCTGCAGGACCTCCCCCCACCATGGACTCCTGCACTGCTCACAGCTCAGCAACGTTGCAGGGGAGTGGATTCTACCACCGACTCATTTCATAGCGAAGATGCTGGTGCTCGGGGTGGGGAACCCCGGCCTGCACTGCTGTCCCCCAACCCTGGATTCTTTGCATAATGACTTATACAATATGGGGGTCAGGGGGGAGTCTGGGGCCCGAGGCCGCACAGCTGCTAGATGGAGCCACTGCCCAGGCCTCCGGGAGCCTGGATAACCCATCTCCAGGCCTGGATGGGGCTGAGACATCGGGCTTGGCCTGACTCTGTGCTTCCCCATGGGCAGAAGCCCCAGATCTTGGCTGAGCCCTGGATGGGTACCTCCTGTGGAGAGATTCAAGGGCTTCCCCACGGGTCCTCTGTTCTCACCTGGGCCATGGGCCCCAGCCTGGAAGGTCTGCCCTCAGGAGAGTAGCCAGAGACAGTGGCCTTTGCTTGTCTGGCCAGCTTGAGGGCCTGAGCCTGGGATTTGCCCTCATTTCCTCTATGGGGCTCCTTTTCAACAGGAGGAAGAGGGCGCTGTGCTGGGCTCCTAGCCTCCCTTATGGGGGGCTGTCTCCTCCCTTGGGCCACTCATTCCCTCCCCAGCTCTACTGGGTAATCCCAACTCACACCCGAACCCCCCACTTTCTGTCCTTACTTCTTGGTGAATTCTGCCCCATCTCATTGCTTGACTCTGAATTCTGGACTCTGCCTCTGGGCCTCAGTCACTCCACTGTGATGGACCAGGCTGATATAAATCTCAAGGCTGAGGGTGGTGGCTGACACCTGTAATCCCACTTGGGAGATAATTTCAGTTCAGCTTGGGGAAAAAGTAAGCAAGACCCCGTTTCAACCAGTAAGTTGAGTCTGGCGGGGTACAACTGCCATCCTCACTACTCAAAAGGTATAAATAGGAAAATCTCAGTCCAGCTTGGCCCTGATCAAAAAGTATGGGATCCTATTTGTTTTTGTTTTTGGTCCGGTCCTGGGGCCTGAACTCTGGGCCTGGGCGCTGTCCCTCAGCTCTTCAGCTCAAGGCTGGCGCTCTACCTCTTGAGCCACAGCGCCACTTCTGGCTTTTTTCTTTTTGCTTATGTGGTGCTGAGGAATCAAGCCCAGGGCCTCAGGCATGCAAGGCAAGCACTCTACCACTGAGCCACCATCCCAGCCCCAATGGGATCCTATTTGAAAAGCAGTAAAGCCAAAAGGGCTGGATGTATAGCTCAAGTGGTAAAATACTTGGCTAGCAAGTGCAAAGCTCTGAGTTGAAACTCAAGCATTTCTTCCATTAACTCCATACCTCCTGAGTCTTGAGGTGTGTTGTCACCCATCCCCACTGTTGGAACCAAGATATATCCTTCATAACAGATGGACAGGGCCAGCAAGGAGCGGGCCCTTCAGGGCAGAATGTGAGCTGCACATGGACATGGTGGATGGCTGAAAGGATCCCTTTGCCTGGGACACGTTCCACATCTGAGGCCCCAAGGAGGGGGATCCAGGAAGGCAGGGTTCGAATCCTGACTTTGCCGCAGAGGATCTGTGCATTACCATCTTCCTGAGCCTCAGGGTCCTCACTGAAATTGAGGGGAAAAGGCCCTACACTCTGGGGTGTGTGTTCCCATGTCATGCAGAAACATCCAGATGGGTGCAGGAGTTTGCATGTTGAGTGTTCCCCAAACAGCACCCACAGTGAAAAACTGGCCCTCCATTTGCAGGGAACTAGATAGAACTAGAGCACATCATTTTGAGTGAGGTAAGCCAGAAGCAAAGAGACATGGTCTCCCTGATATGTGGATGCTAAAGCCAAAATGCAAGGGGATAGGACAAACAGGACTTGAGAAACCAAGGATCGCCACTCATTTTGTTGTATCACTGCTAAATGACTCCATGTTCTTGACCACATATAAGGTATATATGTGACAACAGAGGAAAGCTAGGAGGCAGACACAGAATCAGTGGGAAAGGGGAAAACATACAACGGAGGGACCCATCAGCTGCACTGGACGCAGATGAAAATGAACTAAGCAACCCAAAGACAGCGACGGGAGGGGAGGAATGAGAGGGCAAGAGGGAGCAGCCTACACTAAGCAGAAGAAATGTAAACATCACCTGATGTGGAAGAAATAATTATATTGTCAGAGCTCATAGAATTCACAAACGTTATAGACCATGATAATGACAATTTGCCTTGTGAAGGTTAAAATGTGTTTGTGACTTTTACTAAGTATTTTTCTGTGAAATACGTGAAACTTATATAATCACCTAATCTCAATTTAAAAAAAAAAAAAAGAAAGAAAAACTGGCCTTCAAGCCAGTATTATTAATGAAGCCTTTAAGAGACAGGGCCTTCGGGAGTCCTTAAGTCCCTGGCCCAGGAGCCACAGCTTGTTTTCAAAGGGGACTGGGAGCCCTTGATCCTTCCCTCCCCTCCCCTCCCCTTCCCTCCCCTCCCCTCCCCTCCCCTTCTCTCCCCTCCCCTCCTCTTCCCTCCCCTCCTCTCTTCTTTCCTCCTCTCCCCTCCCCTCCTCTTTCTTGCCTCCTGGCCCTGAGGTTCACTCCAGGCCCAAAGCCACTATCATAGGGTCAGCCAATCACAGACTAGAAGCTCTTACAAAGCAAACCTTCTTGTTTTACTAGTGGATTATTTCAGGTAACTTGTTACAGTGACTGGAAGTTAACTCATACACCAAGTTGGAAGAAAGACCATGGGATGGTGTGGCTTTAAGCATGAATAACACAACACGTAAGAAATTCTCCCAGGGGCCCTGAGAGTCTCCTGAGGGTCACCGCAAGGGAAATGGCAGACACCTGTGTCTGAGCCACGCCATGTTGGCCGCTCTATGCCCTGGGCTGCCATGCGAATGGTGTGTGTGCAGTGTCTCTGGACTCAGCAGCAATCCAGTGTCCCTGAGCATGCGTGGGACGTACTTGGACCCTTGTCACAGGGCCCCAGACAAGGGCTGGGCTGTCTTACCTTCCTCGCAGGTCACCCCTGAATGCCCAGGGCAGCACCGCCATTCCCGGGCAGTCACTGTCTTGTACATCACTTTGTATGTGGGCCGCACCACGGTTCTGTAGCTGCAAAAACGTCCAGGTGGCTGGGTTCAGATGGGGTTTTCCACCGCCCTGTCCACTGCTCTGGACACCCCTGGGGCCAAGGCCAGCCTCCTGGGCCACCTCCCACTCCCCTCAGGGTCTTTCTGGATTCTTGGAAGAACTCCCACATCTGTCAACCCCTTTTGCACCTCCACAGCCAAGGAGATGTGGACAGGAAAGCCCAGCAGGCCGGGCATATCTGTCCCCAGCAGAGGAGGAACACAAGGATGGGGTGATCCCTCACCACACAACGTTCCCTCTGCACTGACCACCCTGGGGTCTCAGCCTTCTCCCGCACGCCGTCCCATCTCCAGGCCTTTGCCCGTGCTGGGCACTGTCTCTCCACCACTTACCTACTCCCCGGGCAGCTCATGGGCCAGGGGCAGTTCTGCAGCACTCGCTGAAGGTAGGTGCCATTTTGTACGTGGCATGAGACAGTACGGGTCACCACGTAGGAGCACCAGTTCCTGAAAAAAGACCCAAAGAGTAGAATGTGAGGTGTCAGGTGCCCAAGACTCCAGGAGGGTGGGTGAGGAGGTCTGTGCCCTCTCCAAGAGCCTCAAGCCTCTGGACAGAGACTCCTGAGCTCTGAGTCCTTTAGGTTCCAGTGGGGTCTGAGCAGTCCCGCCTACAACTCAAGGGTGTGGTCCTACTGGAGGCTGCCAGAGACCCTTGGGGTCAGAGGGAGTGGTTATAACTATGACTGGCCACCCACCCTGGGGCCCTGGTCAGGCCTCACACAAGAGTGTGAGGGAGGAAGGAAATGAACAGATGTTAAAGGCCTGGGTGTAGCGCCCAGCATGCAGTGAGTGTGACAAACAGCAGCTCCAGAGGTTGAGCTGGGTGGAGCAGATAGACAGCCTTCTTGGACCTACAGAGAGCCAGTTTGATCAACGTTGAACGCAAGGCCTCCTGCTTGCTAGGCAGGTGCTCTGCCACTTAAGCTGTGTCCCTAGCCCTTCTGTTTTGAATTTGTTATCCGATAGGGTCTCACGCTTTTGCCCAGGTTACCTTCAGATGGGGATCCTCCTATCTCTGCCTCTCAAATAATTGGGATTACAGATGTGACCCACCATACCCGTCCTGAAAGTACAATCTCCCCACCCCCACCCCGATTTTATGCACGACTACTTATATACATACACAGAAACAGGAACAGTTCTCTGGCTCTATTTTCTTTTTTGGGGGGTCTGGTCATGGGGCCTGAACGCTGGGCCTGGGCGCTGTCCTACAGCTCTTCAGCTCAAGGCTAGCACTCTACCACTTGAGCTACAGTGCCACTGCCGGCTTTTTTTTTTTTTTTTCTCTGCTTATGTGGTGCTGAGGAATCAAACCCAGGGCCTCATGCATGCAAGGCAAGAGCTCTACCACTGAGCCATCTTCCCAGCCCCTCTATTTTCTTTTTTTAATTTTCTATGCCAATCTTGGGGCTTGAGCTCAGGGCCACGGCAATGTCATTGAGCTCTTTTGCAAGACCAGCACTGTACCGCTTGAGCCACAGCTCTACTTCAGGCTATTGGTGAGTCATTTATTGAAGATAAGATCCTCATAAACTTTCCTGTTGGGGCTGGCTTTTGAACTCTAATCCTTAAATCTCAGCTTTCCGAGTAGCTAGGATTTACAGCTATGAGCTGCCCGGTTCGGGCTCTATTTTAACAGACATACACCCATTCTGTTCCTCCTTATCCAGACATGACAGCCATCCCTGGGTTGCATGCCCACAGACCTTAGGTTCTGATCCAGGGCCTGACTCTCCGTCTGGTGGGTTTCTGGCTATTTAGGCAGCTCCCAGTGTTGCTGCATTCCAGTGCTATCGCAGGAAGCCCCCGACACCTGCGCCCTGGGCACAGCCATACACTCCGGCAGCTTCATGGGCCATGTGGAATTATCCCTTCTGCCAGCTCCCTCCCCCTTCTCTTCCTCGTGTGGTTGGATCCTAGTGGGACTTCCCCAGGATCCCATGACGCTGCTCCCAGTCCAGGGCTTTCTTTCCTGTGAGCCGCGTAGGGGTGGGACAATGGGGCGCTGGACTGAAGTGGGGGCGGGTGCGTCCATGGTGGCTGCAACATTCCAGGTGTTCAGCAGCCCTCAGCCCTGCCGGGGGGTCATGAGCTCAGGGCTCTTTGCTGGGGCTGCGAAAGGAGGCCTGGTGTCAGGTGACCTTCCTCAGCCTGGGCCCCCCACCCCCCGCAGGCATCCCCCCCTTGTGGTCTTGAGCCCAAGGTCAGCAGGTTCCCAGGCTGAGACCTTCACAGAGCCATAGGCCGTGGCTCACAAGCCCAAGGAGGACACAGGAGCTGAGGCCTCTGGATAGAATCTAAGGCCAGGCAGGGCCACCTCCATTCCTGGTTCGAATATGGCTCTTTCATGCGCCAGTTCAGCCATATAAGCAATTGTCCCAGAGCCTCAGCTGGCTCACCATCTGAGATCCATGTGTATATTTTCAGCATACAGTAAGTGCTCAATATGTGACGTGCATGGGCCTTCATCTCAGCAATGGGGCAGAGCGATAGCTGAGTGCACACCGTCATCCCCAGTGACATGGGGAAGCACAAACCGGACGATCGCAGCCCAGGCTGGTCCGAGCATAAAGTGAGACCCTACTTTGGAAATAATCATGTCCATTTGTGTTTTGTGTTAATCATGTCATTTGATGACATTTCCGAGCCAGGTGCAGTGGTAGTCCCAACAACCAGGGAAGCTGAGGCAGAAGGATCGCTTGAGCCCAGAAGCTTGAGACCACGCAGGGAAAGAGTGAGACCCTATCTCCAAAAGAAAAAGACGCTGGCACGGTGGTATACACCTACCATCCCAGCTACTACCAGAAGGCAGAAAGTAGGAGGATCACCAGATGGTGATGCAGCTTGGGCAAAAGAGCAAGACCCTATCTCGAAATAACCTAGCAAAAACAGGGACTAGAGGTATGGCTCAGAAGTAGAGCACCTGCCTAGCAAGTGTAATAAGGCTCTGAGTTCAAACCCCAGTACTACCCAAAAAAGAAGAAAGAAGAAAGTTCCCACTCCATAGAGCCTCAAGTCCATAAAGTTGTGCTTCTGAGCCCTTGGAGTTTTGTCTGGAGGTGGGAAAGAAATGCAAACAACTTGGTGTTCAAGCTCCCCACAGCCCAGGCTGGCTGAGGGTTCCAGAGGAAGGAACAACCAGAGTACTGGGAAGTAGAACCCCTGGATGAGATACAGGAGGGGCAGAATAAATGCTTCATGCCAGGGTGAGGGTGCACACAGACACACACACACATGTACACGCAGGCCTACAGGGCTGAGCACACACGCCGGAGCACAGCCGTGCGTGTGCCCACATGGAAGCACATCTGCCGTGCATGAACACACCTGTGCTGTGTGCACATGCACAATGGCACAAGCACAGACTCATGCACGCAGGACAGGCATTCCACAGCGTCGCTACAAAAAAGCCCAGCCATGCTCACCTTCATTCTCACACACGCTGTCCCCCATGGATACAGGCTGCGGCTGCCATTTCTGTGTGCGCTCACATCCATGTGCTCACATGCACACACACTTCACGTGCACCGACTGCAGAGGCAGGCCCAGCGGGGCTGTGATAACTGCCCTCCTGCATGCATACACACAGGTGTGCACAGACCACCCCCTCCATGTGATGCCCAGGACCCAGTTAGGCTAGGGAATAGATGCCTGTCTGCAAACGTCCAAGCTGTCTTTTTTTTTTTTTTTTTTGGGTCCGGTCATGGGGCCTGAACTCTGGGCCTGGGCGCTGTCCCTCAGCTCTTCAGCTCAAAGCTAGCGCTCTACCACTTGAGCCATTCCGGCTTTTTTCTTTTTGCTTATGTGGTGCTAAGGAATCGAACCCAGGGCCTTGAGCATGCAAAGTAAGTGCTCTACCACTGAGCCACCTTCCCAGTCCCCCCTTTTTTTTTTAAACCAGCAGGAGCTAGAGAAAACTTTTTTTTTCTCTCCTTCATTAAAATCACCCTGGCTAGGCACTAGTGGCTCACACCTGTAATCCTAGCTTCTCAGGAGGGTGAGATTTGAGGATCATGGTTCAAAGCCAGTCTGGGCAGGAAAGTCCATGAGACTCCAATGTACCACCAAAAAGCCAGAAGTGGAGCTGTGGCTCAAGAAGCAGAGTGTCAGCCTTGAGTGGAAAAGCCAAGGGACAGTGCCCAGGCCCTGCGTGCAAGGACCTCCCCCCCAACTCCCCTCCACTCCCCCATCCTGAAATCAGCTGGAAGGCACTTGGTGATGTTTGCTGAATGACTGAATGATGAAGAACAATGACTCTAGGCAGGAGGAACAAGACAGAAAGGGTCCCAGAAATAGAGGGAACACTGGACACCCTGCTCCATCCCATGGATCCTGGGGGCTTCCTTTCCTGGGGTGTGGTCAACAGTGATCTCTGAGAGCCAGGTGAGGCTGGGGGAGGGGGGGCAGGTGGGAGGAGACAGCATCTCTCCTGGGCCTGCCGCTCTGCCCACTCAGTACTTCCAGGGCCCCCAGAGGGCCCTGGGAGGGGAGAAAACAGGCCAGACCAGCTCAGCCTGGCACTGGCCACCCCCTTCTGATTACCCCCCCCACCCTCCACTCCCTGCTGAGAGGGGCCCAGGGGACTTTGTCTCCACAGGGCCCAGGGCTGCGATCCGGAACAGTGATAGGGGCTAATTGCAGGAGGCAGCCAAGCGGGCCTGGGGCCAAGGGCCGTTATGAAAAGGAGAGGAAAGAACGGAGACAGGCGGGTGGGGGCAGGGTGACGAGAGCCAGAACTCCATACTGAGGCCCAGCTCCAGTCCTGCCCTGCTGTCTTCTTACTGTCCCCCACCCCCACCCCGCCGTGACCTTGGACCAGGCTCTGACCCCTCTGACCTCACCGTGGCCACCTGCACATGGGGAGAACAGCATGATTCTATGCCAGCATTGTGCTTTTGCTCTATGCCAGTACCGGGGCTTGAACTCAGGGCCTTGTGCTCTTGCTTAGTTTTTCCACTCAAGGAAAAGTGCTCTGCCACTTGTGCCATAGACCCACTAAACGCCGATGCTCTGCTTCCTTCTTGTCTCTTGACTTCCATGACGTACCTGGCAGTGTGGCCCAGGGGCCTCCGTGGGGCCCAAAGACACGACACCTACAAGGTGCGCACCTCATTTTGAGGATAGATTGACAGGCCAGGCACTGCATTTTAGAGGGGGGAAACTGAGGCTCCGAGAGCTGGTGGAGAGGGGTTAGGCTGATGCCATGGTGTCTGTTTTCCCAAAGACAGCCAGGTCCCCGGGAGGTTGTCCTGCGCCAGCATCCCGGTGACAATGATGGTGCTGGCTCCAACTCCGGAGCCAAAGGGTTGAGATGAGTGGTTCAAAACCAACAGGGATTCAAGCTGGGAGGGGCCCTGAAGGGACCAAGCAGCAGCATCAGGGATGAGGAGGGTTGGTGGGTTGGGGAGGGGGGGCTATGATGAACCAAAGCCACTCTGCACAGCCCCTGGGCACCCCGATTCCAGGGTCTTGGTCTCGCCACATTCCTGGGGCTGGGGGCGGCCCCTTGGATGTCTTCCCGGGCTTCCCCCTGCCCATGCACAAAGCCTGCCTTTAGTCCCTTGGCTGCCAAGGGACTCCTGGGGCGCCTGGCTGGGGGTGGAGGGAGGGCTGATGGGGCATGGGCACCCCCTTGCTGTCTCCAAGATGCCGGGACCAGGCCACAGATGCCTCCTGCTTAGGTCTCCACTCTACTCATGTGGGTGATGGCGGACTCCCCTGTCGGTAGTAGCTCTTTGCTAGTGCCATGGGGAAGGATAGACTGAAGGGGGAAAAAGAAGAAAACAGGCTCATGGCCATGCAATGAAATGTTTCAAGGCAAGGGACAGGCAGAAAGAAAACCTCTTCCTGTTCAAAGCCGGGTCGCCAAACTCCCAACTGGCAAACTTCCCCAACCCCCTCTCAAGATGACAAGCTCTCTGCATCCTCACCACTGGGGAGCAAAGGACTCTGGGATGGCAAACTGACTCTCCTGCACCACCGTGATACATACCTTCCTCTCAGCCTCAGTTTCTTTATCTGTAATATGGGAGCAACACCACTGCCCACAGAGCTACTGTGCCAGCCTTCTGTTAACAGATGGAGGTGGCACTGTTCCTTAGCTTTTTCACTCAAGGCTGGCATTCTAACACTTGCGCCATAGCTCCACTTTTGGCTTTTTCCTGCTTAATTGGAAACAAGAGACTTGTGAACTTTCCTGCCTGGACCGGCTTTGAATTTCAATCCTCATATCTCAGCTTCCTGAGTAGCTAGGATTTGGGGCATGCGCATTGGCCACGGGCCCTCTGCTAGAATCTTATCCCATCCTGGCGATGAGTAGTACAGGCTAGAAAGTCCTGCCTTGGCACAGCTGGAGAGGAGTCTGGGCTGGAAGCTTTTCTCCACCAACATCCTGAGTCTGGCTCTGGCAAGTTCAAGTTCCTAATCTTGGTCCTCTTAGCACCCGAGATCCTGGGGACTCACACCCCTGGCTCAGGAAGCTCATATTCCCCCTCAGAGCCGTGGCTTCTTCCTCTGTAAAACCAGGATCATCAAAACCATGGCTTCAGTGGCGACAGATGAAGGAAAAGTGCTCAATCCAAGCCCAGCCGTGGTCAGTGCACAGTAGGTGGTGGTTGTGACATTTGTCACAGGTCCATCCCTGCCTGGAACAACTGCTCTTCTGGTCTCTGATGCCTCTGAGCCACTCCCATCCTCTAGCCTGCCCCGGGGTCACCTACTTTTGCTACCCCAGCAGGGGCACGGCTGGCCCCTGACCACTGGGAAAGGGGAAATTCTGAAAAGAATTAAAGAATTGAGGCCATAGGGGGTGGAGGCTGGGCAGGACTTTGAATGGGATGAAAAGGCCTAAGGGGCCTGGCTAGGGCACATTGTCTGCCTTAGTCCAGGAGGCTGGCCCTTGAGGGGAGACCCTAGCAGGGGCAGGGACTGCAGGCAGAGCCGGATCTGGGACAGGTCCAAAAACTGCCATCAAAACAGGAAGATACAAGCGGGGTGCTGCCGGTGGCTCACGCCTGGAATCCTAGCTACTCGGGAGGCTGAGATGTGAGGATGGCGGTTTGAAGCCAGCCGGGATGACCTGGTTTTCTGGCCTCAGTTTGTAAGTCTGTTGAATGGGGGACAGTCGAGGGGCTGTCAGGAGGGCGTGCAAACGCGGGTCCCGGGGGAAGCGTCTGACACTGACCCCGGGCTGACTCCACCCCGGTCCTTCCTCCCGGGGAAATAAATAGCTGGGACACTAAAAAAAGCCAGGAGCAGGGACAGGGGAGGGGTGCTCCCCTCTCGGGACGTGCGTTAAGGGGTGCCCCTGGCCTTTTCCATGTGCGGGGGGGGGGTGACAAGTCCTGGGGGGCTTAGGGGTCCTTGCACCCTGTCCCCCCCTGTCCACTCGGGGGCTGAGGGCCGAGCGTGGGGGGGGGAGGCCGTCCTCCGGACACGAGCCCAGGGACCTCGCCCTCCGGGGAGCCTCCCCCACGGCCCAGACGGCCCGCTGGTCCCAACCAGGAATGGAAGTAGAGAAGGGGGCGGCACGGTGGATGGAGGCGCGCAGGGCGGGGGGCGCGGGCGGGG